TACATCCTGGTTCCACCTGTACAGCTCTTAGAAGCAGTCCCTCAGCAACATCTGAGAGACAATCCTGCAGGGTATCTTCCTCAGAAAACCAACCAAATTCAACATAGTTCTCAACTTTTAGTTTCAGCATTTTTGTTTTCAGAAGACAACAGTCTCTTAAAATCTTTTGTATGTCTGTAATGTCAGTGGCCAACATCTCCATTTTCACTGATTTTATTTAAGTCCTCTCCTTTTATTGATGAATCTAGCCAAAGATTTGTCGACTTGCTCATCTTTTTTTTTTTTTTTTTAAATAAACACTTAATTTTATTTCACACTTCTGTGAACGTTCTAGTTTTTTTCTCATAACTGATTTCTACTTTTATACCTGAAACCTGATTAATACAACTGAATTGTCTACATTCATCAAGACTTACTTTGTGACATAAAAACAAACCTCTCTTCTCCAGAATGTTCCATGCATTCTTCAGAAGAATGTGTGATTCTGTTGTTTCTTTCATGGAATGTTCTGTATAACTGTGATAAATCTATGAAGTAGGATATATTGCTGAAGGCTATTTTCTTACTGATTTTTGGTCTCAAACAGTTGAATATAATTAATTTCATATGTATTTCTGTTTATAATAATTAGTGCCCTTTCTTTTTAACCTAAAGAAATCCCTCTAACATTTCTATTAAGACTGGCTTAGTGGTACTGAACTCCTGTAGAATTGTTTGCATGCAAAATTCTTCCTCCGTCTTTTACTACCAGATAGAGATTTCTTGGTTGGAATTTTTTTCTTCCAGCACCTTGATTATATTGCATCATTCTCTTTGTAGCTGCAATTTCTGCTGAAACATCTGCTGATTGCCTACTGGTTATTTTTCTCTTGCTGCCCTAAGTCTTTAACTTCTGCTCTGTCTCTAACTTTTGACATTTTAATTACATTGTGCCTTGCTGCGGGTTCCTTTGAGTACATCTTATGTGGAATTCTGTGGGTTTTTTGAAGTTTGATGTATTTCCTTACTTAGGTTTAAGAAAATTACAATTATTCTTTCTCAAAGTGTTCTGTCTTTGGGTCCCTGACAAGGAAACCATTAGTCTACTTGATATTGTCCCACATATCCCAAAAGCTGCATTCACTTTTTCAATTTTTTTTTCCTCCTTTGATTTTCTGCTTGGGTGAATTCCACAGCCCTTGCTTAAAGTTCACTGGCCTTTCTTTCATACCATCTATTGTGCCCCTGAACTGCTCTAGTGTGATTTCAGTGTTTTTAGGTTTTCAGTGCTGTGATTCTGATCTCTCCAGTCTTTGCTTAAGTTCTTCTCACTGTGTTCACACACCTGTCTCTGAGCTCAGTGGGCATCTCTCCCATGATTACTTTGAACCCTTTATCAGGAAGATTACCTATCTCCATTCTCCATTGATTATCATTAATTATGTTTTTCTCCAAGGTTTTATTTTACTGTTTCATTCACATTTCTCTTTTACTCATGTTGCTTGAGTCTCTTGTGTTTGCTTATATACATACATTAACATATACATGAACATACACACACATGTACACACAAAATAGCCAACACTCCCCACTTGGAGGAGTGGCCTCCTTTAGGAGATGAATCTTATCCTTCAGGCTGGCCAAACTTTGACCACTGCTGTCCAAGAAGATTAGTTTAAATTGTTACCAGTCGTTGAGTGTGTTCCAAGACCAGTCAGTGTCCCAAAGAGGGTAGGCAGAGATCTCACCATCACCTACATTCAAGCTGATTGGAAGCCTGACCCTGAAAGGCAGCAGCTTTAAAAGAATGCAAATATGCACGGTCCTGTAAACTTATGAGCAAGCTGTGCTGGCCACTCAGACAGGCGATCTGCTGGTGTCCCCCTGGTAACAGTTATAAAACTTAGGCCTCCATAAGAGTGGATAAGCACCTTCCTCAAGATACTGGAAAGATGTTGAGAGGCACTGACAAGAGGGCAATGATGGCATCCTTCAGCCTGTTTTCCCAAGGAACTATTCTGTAGGCCTCTAGAAGTAGGCAAAACCAAAAGCCCGACCTTGGACCAAAGTTCTAAGCAAGCAAACAACATCTTTCACAGGAAGAGGAGGCTATTTCAGTGTGCCGTCTGTGCAGCAGCCAGCTGCTCTTTGACTCCTGGAGTCCCATGGGGCCCAGGTACACTAGCCTCCCTGGGAAAGAGCCAGGACTTCACAGGGGAGGTTCACATGCAGCAGCCAAAAAGAGCAGTGTACCAGACACATGTAAGAATGCTCCCCTCGCAGAATCTAGCATTTTGGAGCATCAGAGGGAAAGCGCAAAGAAAAGACCTGCCTTCCAAGGTCTCTGAAAGGTTTTAGTTAGCCTTTGATGTGTGTCTATTCAGATGCCTGCCCTCAGGCCACAGCTATGAACATAAGCTAATCAGCCTCTTTCACAGAAAGACCTAACTCTGTTTCACTGCCAGTTGCGCTCTGGGACACTAGCTGTTAAAGAACTTTTTGGTGATTATTACAGTCCTGTGTGACCCACTGGCCACCAATGTGGTCCCCAGAAGCAAGCAATGTAGATGCATCCCGGCAGCAGATAAAAATACTGAGGCACCAGATCTAGACCTTTGTGGGAGACAGTAGCATGCTAATGCAAAGCAGAGGGAGCTTGCAAAGTTCCTGTCTTCTAGTTTCTGTTCCCTGAGAGCAACGTCATAGGTATGCTACAACAAAAGCCTGGCCCTCAAGCTAAAAAATGTATGTATATCAATGTATGTATGGACAATCAAAGACAGGACTTTCCAAGAATATCTGCTAAGAATCCCCTGAGTGGCAGTTGCAAAACCAGAACACCAGCCATGTAAAACATTTCCCTCAGGAGGTACTATAGGTACCAGTACTTGTATAGGTACTACAGGTACTGGTACTATAGGATGTGACAGAAGGAAAGTGTGAAAATGCCTCCCACTGGCTTTAGCAAGATTTATAGAGTACAAAAATGGCACCCTCCCTTGGAGAAGAAAAATGTCCAGAGATTTAAAAAATAACAAAACTGTCCATCAAAACCAGCATACTCTTCAGGTTCACCTTCTAAGATTGGCAAACGAACCTTTCACATAAAGTCAGTGTGCTTTTTAAACACCTACCTCTGATCTCAGCCATGGTGAGAGTGAATCTGTGCAGGAGCCTTTTAAAAGGCATTTCTCAGTTTACAACAGCCCTTCAGGTCACATGAGTGCAATCCCCCTGTTGTTTTTCAAACTCAGATTTTGGGGGTATTCTCTCAGGTACAGGCCTTAAAGGCTGGGTTCTGATGATGTTGGGTTCAAACTCTAGACCCAGGTTTTCTAGTTCCCTTTTGCTTGTAGTTCACCACTGTGGGGCGGAGTTTGACTCAGCCTCTCCTATCCCTCAATGTGACAGTGATGTTATATTCTGAAGGTGGTTCAACTACTTAGAAAATAAGTTTTTTTAAGAAGCAGTTTTTTTTTTAAACGTATTTTAAACCTAAAATATATCTACTTTTTATTATTCATGAGAACTACTGATCTCCACAAGGATAAAACATCATAGAGAAGCCACTCCTTGGACAAGTCTCCAATGTATCACTTCTGCAAATAAATGCAGTAACTCTTACTTGCCATATCCTTCCACCTCCAGAAAGTATCTAAATAAATAAATAACTCGATTCCTATTTCTCAAAGTTTAGTCCCTGGACTGGTAGTTTTGACCACCAACTAGGAACCTGTTAGAATGCAACCTACCTTAACGATCTTCTCCATCTCCACTTAAAATCTACTGTAAAATGTCTCAGCATTGACAATTTGACAAGATCCCTGGGTGACGTGTAATGAGGTTAAGAAAAACTGGCCTAGCTCACTATGCTACTCAATTTGCTCTTTCTTCCCTAATCCTTTCATGGCTGGCTGCTGCTGTCCCAGTAGAAAGTCAACCTAAACTATTCCTGCTGCTTTTCTTCCCTAAATTTCTTTCTCCATGTTTCTTTCTTTTTTTGTCCCTGCCTTAGTTTTCTAATACTTCTTTCTTGATTTTTATCATTCACTGTACCATAAGATTTTGATATCCTATGCAAACTTTCCTTCTTAGGTCAGCAATGCAACAACAGTGACAGCCGGAATCTCTGGTTTGAACGGAACTTCATTTTCTGTGATTCTTGGACATTTCCACTTCTCACACTGTCACAGGGTGCCAGAGCACTAAATCAGATATAGATGTGCCACTTGAACAAACAGTAACAAGATTTGTTGCAGTTCTGTCCTTACTGACAAGACACAGGAATGATAAAGAATAGTCGCTTTTAACGATAGATGAAAATGCAGTTTGTCAGTGATAATTCACTAAGTACTTCACAAAATCCAATGTTTTGGCATTTACATTAGAACCAACTATTCAAAAAATTTCCCACAACAATTCTTCAGAGGTTCTATGCCTTTTCTATTCTTGAATGTTAAGAGGCTACCAAGGATTCCATGTTGAAGAGTGCTTCCATAATTCCAGGAAAAGAGTGCTGGTTGAAAACACATAATTAGAACAAACACCCCATGAGTGAACTTTGGAAGAAGGAAAAAGGAACACAACCTAGCAAACAGTAGATTCTCAGTAAATATTTCTTAAAATGTAGTACTGTCATGTAACTAAAAAATTCAATCAAAATGGCAAAAGGCTTTATCTCTAACATTCCTTTCATGTCTAGAACTCCTGAATTTAACCAAAAAAGCCAGTCTTTTTCAACTGAGAGGCATTACATATATAAACAAAAAAAGCGAGTCTGGAAATGCCAAGGCTGACTGACTTTCAGGGTACATCTCAAAAAGCATTATAATATTCTAAACTGTGTATCACAATACTAAGTCAAACAATCAGCATAACTCCCGAAAAATTTGATTCTTCCCCTCAATTCTCTAATACAATTTTAAACACAAAACTGTATCAAAACCACATTTTCAAAGTTTATCAAGCACATACACACAGTTTGCTATGCTATACATGGGCCTCACTCCCTTAATACTCACAAGATCAGCGTATTTCTTACACAGAGCTGCCAGCTTCTCCTCTGGAGTTGAAAGAGTGTTTAAGGCTTGCATCAATAATAATACTTCTTTCCCTAATGATTTATAAAAGAAAAAAGGTAGCAGAAGGATGACATTAATTCAGTCTGTAAATTCTACATAAAACGTGTATTTCTAACTTAAGGCTATAAATAGAGACAGAGATTCACCTACTAAATTAAAGAAGCTATTTTCAAATTGATCTATTAGCCTCACCATCATCCACATTTCTATACTTACCAACACTGCTACCTCTTAGATACTAATCACTTAAACAGCAAAAACAAGAGTTCTTCAAGAGTGCCTTAACAACTTTAGCAGAGGAAACACGTTACTAAGATAGGTGGAGGTAAATGATGCTATAAAGTTAAAAATAATATTCTATTTCTTACCCTGAGGATAAGGGTTTATTTTCTAAACTGTTCAGCCTTGTATGTAGAGTGTTTCATCAAAAAGAATGGTATTCATCTAATTCTTTAGCATTTAATCTAAAGTTGATATTTCATATACTTTACAGACTGTTATGGAGGTGCAAGAGAGGAAGAACAGTCCAACTTCAAAAAGCTGACCACCTTATTCAGATAAGATTTTAGTACTGAAAGCTTTTTCCCTTCAGTTCAAAATAAAATAAAAAAAGGAACCATGTTTCAATGTGCAGACATAACAGTAACCTATACTTCAACTTTATGAATAGTTTAAACTCTATCTTAAACCATTTAAATGATTTCTACCTGAAGTTTTATTTTATGCACAAGTGTTAGGGTCACTGATTCTACAGATATCTGTCTTGTTTGCAAGGAATTATAAATACTTCACATATTCATATAAATTTTAAAAGTCTTTAAAAACTAGCAGAAGGTGTATTAGGAAAGAGAATTTCAATTTATGTTTTGCACAAATCACTAATTAAACAAGGTAAATATTAGGTACAACAGGAATGAAAAATTGAGAAGAAATCATTAAGATGAAGTAAGGGCTTCAGATTTCATTCATGAAATTTAACGTATCACACTGTTAATCCTAACTGTCAAATTAAGCAGCTATAGGACAGATCCTAAAACTAGTCTTACTAACGCACTTTCTAAGCTGCAAAATAACGTATCATTTCCAAATTTTAGTGGATATCCTCTAATAAGCTGAGCAAATATATAGCTTTCATAGCAATTATTAGATTACTTTGAATGATCAAGCAACAAGGCAAATTAACTACTACTTCTGTCAAACTTGCCACATATATTTTTCTGGAAAACAATCCTTAGTCAGAGAGAAGGAACAGAAGCATCCAGAACTGCTTTCTACTCTGTTATTTTCACCTCCTGCATGTAATTGCTGGAGTGCAGCATACTGACCTGACAAAAAAAACTCGCTGAATTAGCTAAACATCTATCTCAAAACTAGTCATGTTCCACCATTACCAGTGCTGCAGAAATATAAGTTTAACAAGAACCATGTGAAAATTTTCAACTCCTGAGCAGAGATCATTACCTAAGTTTTTTTCTTTGTTTCTGCGGCACTCTGAATCTTGTTGACCACCAGAGGGATCTGCTCCAGCTCCTGGCCCTGGAGGTTCCTCTCTTGACTCTTGTGTGCAGTACACTGGGCTCAGTAAATCCCTGCTCTTTGCTGTAATGTTACTGCTTTCATCCTCTTCCACTGAATGCTTGTTAGATGTGCTACCATAATTTGAGTCATTACACTGAGGAATATCATTTGATTGACAGTGATGCAACATATCTGGTTTTACTCCTACTCGGCAAATTCTAGATTCTTCCATTGTGATTCTCCATAAGCTGGAGGAAAAGAGCAGAAAAAAAAAATAATAATACAGAGGAAGGAGTTAAACCAAATGTAATCAAGGGAGGAAAACAAGGCTGTACAACACTGTTTTCCACCCCACTTTGCTCATTTTCTTAAGAGTGGACTCAAACATGGTTTCTCTCTCTCTCTCTCTCTCTCTTTTTTTTTTTTTTTTTTTTTTTTGGCTGCACCGAGTCTTATGCTGTATCTTAGCTTCCCAATGGATCAAGGATCAAAGCCCCCTGCAGTGGAAGTGTGGAGTTCTAACCACTGGACCACCAGGGAACTCCCAGCTTTGCTCATGTTTAAATGTAGTTTAAAAAAAAAATGTAGTTTTTACTTTGTGTACATGGTACAATCAATTGGCAGATGATCATGACAGTCTTTTAAGCCCTTTCACAGTGGTTTACAAAAAGACAGTGCTTGTTAGAATCAAAGGAGAAAAGGGGAGAGGAAGGGACTACTGTAATCATGGAACAGAAAAAAATCCTAGGCTCTGATCTTCTAATAAGTAATAAATATGCTGGCAGAATCTATCAGAATCAACTTCTACAGAACTCTGAAATCTCTAAAAGCCTACAGAAGAAAATTAAAATTAACAACCCAAATGGAAGGCTTAGCAAATAAAAGAGAAGTTGGAGATCACCATGTGATTGTAATCTTCTGTCTGTCATTCTCCATACTCCTGGTCAGCAACGATTGTAAGAACAACAGCCCACACTCTCAGTGATGCTACCAGTGCCAATGGGAACAATGCAGACATTATTTTCATAGGACTGTGGTCTCTTTTAACCTTTCAGGCAGTTCCCTAAGAAACCTGTATAGGAATCTGCCTCTGTTTATCCCTTGGAAGCATTATCTCAATGTTGGGAGATGCACACTGACTGAAACCTCCCATCCTGGCCAGGGTCCCTACTAACTATTTGCATGAGCTATTTTATGACAGAATGTCCTGGTAAAGAACACCAAACTAATAAGCCACCACCAACCAGAAGAGTTCAGATAAGATCAAAAGAGAACACCATGTGTTCAACCACCTCCCAGAATCCCTCTGGTTAGTATCCATCTTGGCTGAGCAATGCATGTGCCACCAGGAAGGACTCTGAGTCAGAATGGTTGGCCAAAAGAATAAAATGATTGGCCAAAGACAACCCAGAAACTAATCCCATCACCATAAAACCTGAGACTGCAGGCCACAAGCCACATGGCACAACAGTTCTCCTGGGTTCCCTTACCCTGCTGCTCTCTGCCCCAGTGCGCTTTTCCAATAGTCTCTTGCTTTGTCAGCACACGTCTACTCAGACAATTCTTTCCCAAGTATTTAAACAAGAGTCCACTCTTGGGGCCCTCCAGGGGGACCCAGCTTCTTACAATATTAACACTAGGGAAGCACTGTGGATGTCTTTAGATACAAGTATAAAAGGCTCAATACTGACCTCAGCAGCCTGAGATATGGGACAAAGACCATGAAAAAGCAACAACGCAGGAAAATCTTTACAGAGAAAGGCTGGGAAAGGAGATGAATATATGCATTTTAAAGGTCCCATGTTAAGAGTTATCTTACTATCTCTGCTTGGCCTTCAGTCTGACCTTCAAGCAGAAGCAAATGCTAAGGCCAAGTTGTAAAGACCCTGACTAAGTACTCCAAGCTGCACCAAGGTACAAGAGAAAGCATGTGTTTGTGTACTGATGTGAAACTGACTTTCTTCAAATGCACTGATTTCTCCCTGGGTACCTGGGTATCCCCTTGCTAAGGAAAGCACACTTACTGAAACCACCCACCCTGGTCAGCCACCACAGTAACCACTTACAATTAGTTATTTTATGACAGGACGTTCTGGTAAGGAACATGGAAAAATAAGCCATCACAAACCAGGAGAGTTTGAGAAAGATCAAAAGGAGACGTCACGTTTCCTACCACATCCCAGATTCCCAGCTGGCATTCATTTTGGCTGAGCAATGTGTGCGCCACGAGGGAGGATTCCGAGTCAGAATGACTGGCCAAAGACAAACTGGTAACTAACCCCATCACTGTAAAACCTGAGACTGCAACCCACATGGCACTCCTGGGTTCCCTTAACATATTGCTCTCCATCTGGGTGCCCCAAACCAATAAAGTCTCTTGCTTTGTCAGCAACAGTGTCTCCTCAGACAATACATTTCTGGGTATCAGACAAGAGCCCACACTGAGGCCCTAAAAACAGGTCCCTCTTCCTGCAATACTCTCACTTTAGCTATCTTGCACAGAAAGGTGCCTTGGGTTGGGGACAAATTCTCTCCAACCCCCACATGAAACCCATCCAAGTAAGCTGGGGCACTGTGGAGAAAAGAGCAACCCAACACAAATTTTTAGGGCTCTTTGGAAACAGCTACTCAAATCACTCACTGCCCCATCTAGTTATGTAGGAATAAGAGGTCTCTGAATCCAAATGAAGAGGCTTGGGGCAGGGTTCACAGTCCATCAAGGAAGCTCAACAAATCAGCTTCAAGCTTACAAGATATTGCTTACACATCTAAACCCAGTGCAGATGCCTATACCTATATCCATTACAAATGAACTATCTTATAAACAGCAGGGGTCCACAGCCAGACAAATCAAGAATGTCCAGACTGACAGGAAATCATACAGTTTAGATGTTAAGTGTCCCAAAGGCAAAGAAAGGTTGGGAAATGGCAGGAATCTCCTGCATTCAAATGTAATATGTTGCTCATAATGCTTTCACTACAATAAAAAATCAGCCTTGCAGAAAAGAAACACTCATCACACATCAACTCCATGACACTTCTGATATAAGCTAAATACAGACAACAATCCCTCCTCCCCCTCAGGAAATTAGAGCTGGGATGAAAATCAGGGAATATGGACCCTCAAGCTCCTCCTTCCCCTGTGAATATTCTGCCCCTTCATTTGTATGCTCCTCACATCTGACTTGTGAAAGAAACCCAGAGTAGCACTTCCTAATTTATCTGCCTGGTCTCCCTCCAAGAGCATGACTTCTAAGCTGCTGCAGTCATATTAAACTCTTTGCAACGTTATGGACTATAGCCCACCAGGCTCCTCCATCCCTGAGATTCTTTAGCAAGAATACTGGAGTGGGTTGCCATGTCCACCTCCTGGGGATCTTCCCAACCCAGGGATTGAACCTGAATCTCTTAAGTCTCCTGCATTGGCAGGTGGATTCTTTACCTGCTGAGTTAGTGGAAAAGCCCTCTGAGAGCAAACTTCTGCTTAAATAAATTCTCATTTTACTTTTTTAACCTCCTATCTTGTCTCCAAATTATTTTTGCAATGAGGCAAGAACCTTAAATTCACTGGGAATACCTGAGCAGGCATATAAAAGAACTCCATTTTTGGTTACCACAAATTGGAGTAATAAATCACAGCTACTAAAAGAATCATGTGGATTACTAACATAGATGTTTATGCTAAGTAAAATCAAGCTACTGATCAAGACTGCACTGCCCAGATGGCGATGACTGCTGGCTGGACTGCACTCTGTACCGAGTATGGCTATGTGCCCATATTCACAAAAATGGTACCACGTAAAGGATTCTTTCCTAATGCAAAGGCTGCCCCTGCATGTTAGACTTGTGATACACACAAAAAGCTGACCCACTTGTCTCCAGACTGGGAAGGCCATGACACACAGGGCCTTGATTCCCTTCATTCTGAAAGTCTTAAATGCATCCAACCTTTAAGTCTCCTTAGATCTACTGGTCATGGGTGACCCATAGTTAACAACCTATTCAGGTCATGGGATTGATGTGCCATACCAATCACTTGACTTTGGCTACATCACTACAGCCTTTGAAATGATCTGTCATGTCGTCAGTCCAGTCGTGTCAAATTCTGTGACCCCACGGACTGCCCCATGCCAGGATTCCCCATCCATCACCAACTCCCAAGCCTGCTCAAACTAATGTCCATCAAGTTGGTGATGCCATCCAACCATCTTATCCTCTGCTGTCCCCTTCTCCTCCTGCCATCTATCTTTCCCAACATCAGGTCTTTTCCAATCAGTCAGTTCTTTGCATCAGGTGGCCAAAGTATTGACAACTCCATGAAGAGTTATGTGGTCAGACTCCTAGCTAATCTGCAGTCTGAAACTGTTAAAGAGAAGCACACCGACTGAAACTGCCCATCCTGGCAGGGCACCAGAGTAATCATTTGCATGAGTGATTTTACAACAGGAGGTCCTGGTAATGAACATGGAACTATAAACCACCACCAATGGAAGAATTTGACAAAAGGTCAAAGGGAGACCCTACATGTCTGACCACCTCCCAGAGTCTTGTTGCTGGTTTCCATTTTTGCTGAGCAAGACATGCATCACCAGGAAAAACTCTGAGTCAGAATGACTAGCCAAAAACAACCCAAAAACTAATCCCATTACCATAAAATCAGACACTGCAAGATATGTGGCAGAGCATTTCTCCTGGGTTCTCTTACCCTACTGCTTTCTGCCCAGGCTCCCCTTCCCAGTAAAATCTCTTGTTTTGTCAGAATGTGTGTCTCCTTTGACAACTCATTTCTGAGCATTAGACAATAGCACACTTGCAGGCTCTGGAAGGAGTCCCCATTCCTGCAACAAAACTGGTACACATTTCAGAGCAAAAGCCACCAACATGGGGTGATAATAAGGTACCTCTGCTATTTTATCTACATTCCCTGTCATCCACAGGCATCTGGAATTACTGAACATTAGGTCTGCTTCTCAAATATTGATGCAGAAATGAATTCTGATGTTAACTCCCTCAAATTTATCTTATGTACACACTGTGGAAAGCAAGCTGAGGCACTGATCAGGACAAAAGAGATGCTAGGTTACATATGTCTGCTTTTAAAAAATTAGCACTGAGTGTGAAAGAAATTCAAAGAATCTTTGTTACTTTTAGGCTGCTGCTTTTTTCTCGCAACAGCATAAAACCGTGAGCTCAAGTGGCATACTCTACCTAAACTGGTGTCTAAAAGAGTCA